GACAGACAGACAGACAGACAGACAGACGCGACCGAAAACATTACCTCCTCGCCTTGGCAGAGGTAAAACACTGAAAAGCACTAAACTGACTAAATGTGAAATAAATAATACAGAAATTCTAGTAAAAGTAAAAATAAAAGTTTTACTGTTGAGTTGTGTTGAGTAGCTGCCATCTTGAATTCTCTTGAAAATGCTCCCACTTTCTGACTGGAAGTTCACATTGGAGGGGCGTTTCAATTTAAATTCATGTCTTGTAAGTAGGAAATTCCCACTCCCAACTTGGCCGCAGCAAAAATGTCCAGCGGAAATGCGTATTTTGCAAACTGCTGGCTCCTTTTGAACCCTGTGCACCTCCACTGACTGATGGGATGCCTTCACTTTGTGGGTAAAATAATCAACATGCATTATGGGAGATGTAGTTTATGGTCAATGCTCTCTTTAAAGCAGCATACACCTCTAAAGCTCTCATGGGCCACATAAAAGGCTGTGGTGGGCCACAATTTAGGAGCCTTGAACTTAACACATCATCTCAAAGGAAAATTTTGCTATTTATTGTTGGACTCTGTTATCAAAATATCTCATTCAACCACCGGATGGATTTAAGTGAACTTTTCAAAAATCACTTGGTGTTCATCTACAGCTGATTAGTGATTGAAGTCAAACCAATTCAAGATGGCCACCACAGCCAACCCAGATAGCAAAAGATGTTAAGGCCCTGTCACACTATGATGTTTTAGACAACTTATGCCACTTTGGTACGTTGCTGTAAGTTGCACAAGTTAGGTGTACGTTGTGAATATGTTGTCAGAAGGATGGCCCGGCGATAATTTTGGAAATGCACAAAGTTTGTCAGCTTATGCCGACGTGCTGCTGCTAAGTGAAGCATAAGTTACAGGTATGCTACGGATAATTTATGCATCAGTTCACATWYGTTTCAGGTAAGTTATTCATTCGTTACTCATAAGTRATATAAGTCCAACACCAGCAGGACACTTCTGAAGCAGCACGTAACTTTTTTTAAACCCAAGTAGCCACTGTCAGGTAAGGCTTATGTGAAATCCAGTTGAACGTTTTCATAATGATTACTATGTATAATAATAATTATACAGGTAAACAAAGCGACCAAAATCAATAGAATTGATGCAAAAAAAAACATTTAATTTTTCATATTGCATCAATAAATGCACTGATAAAAATAATGTTCCAGTCTGATTTAAAATACAAACAAGTTTATTTTGCCAGAACCTTGTTTAAAATCTTGTAATGCTGTATTACATTAAAATTTGCAGATATTCATAATCAACCATACACCTGACACTTTGACAGAAAGAAAGCTGTTTGTGGCACACAAAATAAATAAATTTTAAAAAGCCACACAGGTGGAGTCGGGCAYGTTGAGCAAAGAGAGCTTGTCCTGGAGCAGTGCAGGAAGGTTGGTGTTGAATGCAGAGCTGAATGCTGGACCTTTCAGCAGCTTTTGACACTGTGGACCATCTGGTCCTCATCCCTCATCTGGCTTAACAGGTTGGCCTTCAGGGAGTTGTGCTTGAGTGGTTTAAGTCCTATTTAACAGGCAGAACTTTTTTCCATCAGGATAGGTGATCTGTCCTCTTCTTCAAGCCTTCTGGCCTCTGGCGTACTGCAGGGATCTTTTCTGGGGCCTGCTCTCTTCTCACTTTACTTGTTGCCATTAGGACCTATTATTGCATGCCATAATTTGTCTTTTCATCTATATGCAGATGATTTGCAAATCTATCTGCCAGTCACTCCGAATTGCTCTCTTAGTCTAAATTCTATTGTCAGCTGTTTAACTGATATCAGACGTTGGCTGTCTCAAAATTTACTCTACTTAAATAATGATAAAACTGAATGGATTCTGTTTGCTGTATCCAGCAACTCCTCTAACATCTCACATCTTTCACAGTCTAGGTCTATCACTCTCTCACTTCAACCAGGTGGTAAAAAATCTGAGCGTGAAACTTGACTGCAACTTGAAGCTTGATAAACAGATTGATTCTGTTGTGAAAACAAGCTTCTTTCAGCTCCGTCTGCCTTCTAAGGTGAAGACTGCTTAGCCATAGTGATCCGGAGAAGGCCGTCCATGCCTTTGTGAGCTCTAGGCTCGACTATTGCAATGCTTTATATGTTGGAGTTAAGCAGTCTTCTGTCTCTCGCTTACAGCTTGTACAAAACTCTGCCGCTCGCTTTTTAGTCCCACTTTGCCGTGGGCCTCGACTCCCACAGACGCCTGAACGGGCCTGGTGGTAGCTGCCCTGGCCAGTTCTCGGGTTAGCACACCGGCTAGCTGTTCTCTTCCACCGTCAGGCTGACTCCCTTCACAGCACACACAAAATCGTGAACGACCTCGCTTAAAACTTCACAATTATCTTTTTAATTTGACACCGTCTGTTAGCAAAATATCTCATGAACCACTGGACAGATTTTAGTGAAAATCTACAAACGTCTACAACTCATTAGGAACAGTTAACCAGCTGTAGCAAACACAGAAATGCCTCTGACACAACTTTGAGCTTGTTTGGCAGCGATAACTGAGAGTCATCCTCAGCTCTGTCACTTCTCACGGGATCACATGGGACTGAGCATAATGTCACAATAACTGACCAAAATGGTTGTAACTCTGTCATTTCTCATCTAAGTAGAAACCCCTGGTCTGAAACAAAACGGGTGATTCCATACACATTCTGAATTAGGCCAGAGGATGGTTCACAGCAGAGATTAAGTTGTAAAAGTTGAACCCTGTAGCTGAACTTTGCTCAGAGGTGCTTGCTACCAGCACAACCTTTGTTTCCACAAAAGGTTGTCTCAACCTCCTGGAAATCCCTGAGTTGTCACATTACTGGGGGGTTTCACCACACATCACCACTGTGCTGTACATAAAATAATATAAAGAGTCACATGATTTTACTGAAAGGCTCTGTTTGTTGGGTCATGAGTTCTGAGACTCATGGCTGCAGGGACAAACGTAACACTTCTCTGATCTCATCACACCTCATCAGCTGAGGCCCAGACTCGAACACTGAGTACCTTTATTTGCCCTGATCCCTGAAAATGTCACAATAATAACATAAAAATAACAATAAAAACATTTCTCGAAAACAAATTTCACAATGCTGAAATGAACAGTTGTTGAGATATTTGCATGTGAAATGACAGGAAGTATGTCAAAGGGGAATGTTTGAACGTGAGCAGAGCGTTGCTACAATAACTAGCCCAGACTGTAAGAATCTGATGGTTTTTTTAGATTATTATCAGTCTATCAGAGAGATGAAGAAGAGTCAGAGATCATTATATAT